CACAATATAAATGAGATTCGGTTGGGTTTGCTCCCTTGAAGGATCCGGAATGGAAACTAATGGTAGTGGCGAAGGGTACTCTTCAATGCAGAAAACAAACAAATAACAAATACCCAAGACCAAAATCACTTCCATTTCAACGCCTGATGTATAAACTAAGCTAGTGATATCAAATGCACAATATAAGTGTAACCAACTTAACTTCTGCAGAACATTCGTTCTCCTGTGAATCAGATCTGTGTTAGAGACAAGCAGCCAGACCGGATCCATAATGTATGAATACTGTGTAGAGACAGAATTAAATGAAGACCATGAATTTCAAATCAAAATTCATCTCATCCTTCGAGGGTGAATGATTAAAGAATGGGACAGGATCCCCTCTCTCTCTGTGTCTGAGCAAATTGATTGTAGGAAGAAAAAAAAGGGTCTAGAGGGTGACGACTGCAGACCCCAATTTGCATTTGCTGTCCCGAGAAACAGAGAAAGAGATAGGCCCTCTCCAACTGTACCCTTCAAAATCTGCCATGTAATGGACAACGTACCCTGTAATCTGAACTGCGACATTGATGCATCTCTGCAACAAGAAACCGGGTTGCTCGGCTCATGTTTCAACAACCAAATGAATCATCACGCAGTATGAAATCTCTCATTATTTCTAACTTTGGTGGAACAATATCTTGTTCCATTTTCCCACTAACTTTCTTCCACTAGAAATAAAATTTCTTGTCCAACATTAATGAGCCAGAGATTGGCATTGCCTTACCATTGGATTTGGGGGTTCACCCGTCCCTTTCTTCCTTAAAGTTTGAGCCTTTAGCAAATCCAACGACATGTTCTTTCTGATGAATTTCAAACAATGACCAAGGTATTATAATATAAAAGTTGAGAGTTCTTGTAATGATAACAGGAAATTACATTTCAGATGTGATGATGTGATTTGCAATGGGGCCAACCTTGCAAGTCTCTCAAACCAACCAACTACGGTAGTCAGGGACTGCATTGCATCAACAAATGGTGGTAATTGCGGACGTGTTGAGGCTTTGTATTTTGCGTATTCTCTGTTCAAACAGCAAACATTCTGACTGATGATCTCACTCAAGATGGGTACAATCTTGCAAATAACTCCAACCAAGTTAAATAGTGAAGGCCTGCATTAACAGATGAACATGGTGCAATGGCTGCTCCTGTCGATTGAGCTGTAAGATCATTTCAATCACAGTTCCTGCACGAAGGAAGGAAAAAGTTGACATAAACTAACACCAGCGATATTCATCCAGGATTTCATATAGCAGCACGTGTGTGTGGGACAGATGGGGATTCCAGTTCAAAAATAGTAGAAACAATAATAGATATTTGGAGGCAATGCAAACTTTTTCTTCACCCCATCTACTTGACTATGACCATCTGATTAATTCCCACTCAAAATAAACAGTCCAAGCTCACCGCTAACAGATATTATTCTCTTTGGATTTTCTCTCTTGAGTTTTCCCTTAAGGTTTTTGGTTTTTAAAACGCGTCTACGAGAGAGAGGTTTCTACACCTTTATAAAGAATTTTTCATTCCCTTCTCCAACAGATCAGGAATCTCACACAAAACATGTTGAACTTCATTACGAAGCAAAAAAAACAATAAATGAAAAGCACAAGAGACCCACAAGGAGTATAAAGATCCATATATTTTAGTTGTTGCAAGTGAAGCATCGTCTACTAAATCACCGTTGCCAGACAGCTCATAAGAAGCATCAAATAAGTGAAAGGCCTATTATCAAATAAGTTGCATACAACCATGTGTACCACTTAATTAAACACAGGCATTGTAAATTGTATATACAAAATATCATTTTTATCTCAATACCAAGATGCCAGGACTACAAGTTTTAGCATTTGAAGAACCACAGGTCCTTGTGGTATGTAGAATCTAATCCATTTGGTGAAAACACTGCATACGGTGTCAATCCCACAATTAAAAAGTTGTCCAAAAGAGTCGTTAAACAAGATGCGTTGGTATCATTGAAAATAGGATTCATCGAACATTTGCGAAAGGTAATCATCACTGTCCCAAATGATACTTCTAAAATTATAAATTACTAGTACTAAAGGACTTGGTTGTATAAACAAATCCTATTCACGTAAGCTTGTTCTAAGATTACAAATTCTTTAGATTCAAAGTCCTAGTTAAACATGGTGAGCTAGAGGTACCGATGCTGGAGCATCAATCAAGATCTTGTATCATAAAAACATCAACATTCCCAACTTAGGAAGTGCTTCGGTTGGTCTGTCTCTATCAAAGAATTAAGCGCGGGAGACTTGGCTAACAGAAGATCATAGATCATACTTCTTTCTCATTTGCTTTTCCAAAAAAATTAGAGGTTTTTAAAGTAATAGCACAGATTTTGTCTTTACCATGAAGACGGAAAGAGTACCTTGACACCCAGTTGAACCTCATACCTAACTTCTTTCTACCGGAAAGGTTGGCCCCTCCCTTGGAAACGAGAAGGATAAGGGACTTGGTCGCCAATCTAAGACTTTGACGAACAAAATCGTCAAAGAAGTCCAAATGCCAACTACCTATAAATGGATTATGTGAATTATTACTGGCTGCAGCAACATGAAACATGCGCATAGCTTACTAATACCACTTGAAAGTTAACTCCATAGCTACACTACGAATCAATTGATGGACTCGCTATCATCCATAATTCAACGTAGTTGTCGACAGTAAGAAGCCACTGGTTCTAAGTCATCGTTGTTCAAGTCCAGCCAAACTCACTTCTATATTGCAGAGAGCCATAAGCAAGGAAATCAAGTGAAATACTTTCAATTTTAACAAAGACAGAAGATTCTATAATTACTTTTCTAGAATGTACAGTGAAAATACACTATTATAGACGTATAGTTTCATAAATAATCACATCCGAAGAAACTATGAAGAAACTATGAAACTAAAAGAAGCAAGTAACTCACTTCAACCATCTGCCGTCGACGACTGCAGACGCATTTCTAACAGCCTTGCAGTGAACTCCCCATCACTAACCTTCAGCATTTTCGACAAAGAAAGTGACAATCCATGCTCAACTAATAAACGATGACGCGGCTTAATCTTTCTCTCCAAACTAAACGAAAAATATTGCGGAAACCTTCTCAATTCCGATAAATCACCCTTCATGTCTCCTAAGAAATAATCCACTTTAGGAACCAAATTGTTTTGAATGCTATAAGTCAACAACGCCGGAGACCTTAATACCATATTAACCACATCCTTGTGCGATAAGCCCAAATTTTCTAGGTACTGAATCTTGGGCAGAAGCGTATGTTCAACGCTCGAGACCAGTAGCAATGTCGTCTGGGACGTGATGGCATTCAACCCAACGAAACCTAGGTCGCGCAAGAACTTCAACGCAGGTCGCAATTGAAGGTCCAAGTCGGAGACGAGAAGTCTAGGACATCGAACTATGGATTTCCGAATGTCGGGAAATGGAATTTGAACCTCATTAAGAAGGAAATCGAAGATGGGGTAAAGATCATAGTCCGGGTCTGAAGTGAGAAGCTGAGGGTACATGTCGAGGACGCGGCCGACTGCAGAGAGCTCGAGTCCCATGGAAGAGAGACAGACCTCGACGGACTTGACGGCGGAGAGAGTGGCGGAGCGAGAATCGGGGTTTTCACGGAATGCTTTCCGGAAATCGACATGAAGGTGATTCTCGAGGTAGAGTATCTTCTGCCGGAAATGAAGGCCGGCGTCGGAATGGTCGGAGAATTGGGAATTGAGGGAAATGGTGAACCGAGGTTTTCTGAAATTGGGGTTTCTCATAGGGTTAAGAGATGGGGTTGAGGACCGAGGAAAGAGGAAGCGATTGCATGGAGGAAGATTTTGGACTCTGCTTATCATTTCAGACACCGAAGATTTGTTTCCTGTGGAGGAAGACGATGAAGAAGAGAAGTGGACCAGATGTTTTATTTTACTTAAAAAGCTTATTTCTTTAAAACTGTATTGATAATGTTTTATAAAATTACCGGAAAATAAATAAATTGGTAAATTATAGTTTTGGCTCATAAAATTTATATACAGTATTTTTTTGGTCAATAAAATTTTAAACTATGGAGATTTGAAAAATAATTTTAAATGTTATTTAAACATATTTGACTATTTTCTATTTTTTATTTGTTTTTTTAATTAGAAATCCAAATATGTTTGATAACTATTTACCATTTTTGCTTATTGCTTATTGAAAAAAAGTCATTTATTTGATATATTATATTATTAATATATAATTTTCATGTGTTGGAGAGGAGAATGAAACATTTGGGGTGTAGAAACCTCTCTCAATAGACGCGTTTTAAAATGGGCCAAAGCGGACAATATTGTGAGCTTGAATTTTTCACATTTGATGGGCCTGTGAAAACGTTGGGCTCCTTAGAGGTGGATTGTGAAATCTCATGTTGGTTGAAGAGGGGAACGAAACGTTCTTTGATCCCATATTGATATATTGGTGGGAGAGGGTAATGAAAAGTAGATTCCTCAATCCCACATTGGTACATTGGTCGGAGAGTGTAACGAAGTATTCCCTACTCCCAGATTGGTATTGGTTGCGAAGATTAGGTGGGAGAGGGTGAGGGAGAAGATCGAGAGGTTGGTACGGGCAACTAGCATGCTTAAAAAATGAATTTTCTCCATTTTTTTTTACGAAACCCTAATTTTTTAACCACTAAATTCGAACGAAATCTTTCCGTAGAAGATAAAAATTAAACTAACCTAAACATAATCCATCTATTAAAAATAAAAATACAATTTACTCAAAGATTAGAGGTTTATAATTCACCCAGAGTGTTTAATTGAATAATGTGAAAACTAAAAGGAAACGAGGAAGCATAATCTTGTTGCCTCAACGGTAAATGTGTATGCTGTTAAAATAAAATTAATTGGTAACCGTACACAATTTAGTGGTTAAAAACGGCTGGTAATTTTCCACCGCAAATTATTATCAACATGTGGTTAATACCTTCTTGCTCATCGCATCTCGTAAACAGAACCCATCAATTTTGTAACAGAACGGAAAAGAGATACAACAAACCCTATCTCCATCGGAAGAAGATCGCGGGGGGTTTTGGTACAATGCAATTGGAAATTCGTGGTGAAAACGAAAAGCCGATTCCAAAGGAATGTTTATTGCAGAGTGAGAAGAGGAAGAGAAGGATGATGGTTTGTGAAGAATGGGGAGAGTAAAGCTCAAGATCAAGAGGCTGGACAATACAAATGGCCGCCAAGCAACTTTCGCCAAAAGAAAGCACGGTATCATCAAGAAAGCTAATGAGTTATCCATTTTATGCGATATTGATATTATTCTTCTCATGTTTTCGCCGACTGGAAAACCTTCTCTCTGCTCTGGAAAGCGCAGGTATGCTTTTCCGTTTTAAGAAATTTCAATTTCTTTTTATGTAAATCCGGATCGTGAATAATGTATTTGCATTACCGTAATGAGATTAACGTAGTGCTGGATCATGAATGAGTAGAATAGTTGAGATTAACTTAGCATTGGATCGTGAATGAGTAGAATGGTTGAGATTAACTTAGCATTGGATCGTGAATGAGTAGAATGGTTGAGATTAACTTAGCATTGGATCGTGAATGAGTAGAATTGTTGAGATTAACTTAGCATTGGATCGTGAATGAGTAGAATGGTTGAGATTAGCTTAGCATTGGATCGTAAATGTATAGAATGGTTGAGATTAGCTTAGCATTGGATCGTGAATGAGCAGAATGGTTGAGATTAACTTAGTGAATGAGCAGAATGGTTGAGATTAACTTAGTGAATGAGCAAAATGGTTGAGATTAACTTAGGATCATGAATGAGCAAAATGGTTGAGATTAACTTAGGATCATGAATGAGCAAAATGGTTGAAATTAACTTAGGATCATGAATGAGTAGAATGGTTGAGATTAACTCAGTATTGGATCATGAATGATGAATGCATGGGATCATGAAAGAATAGAATGGTTGAGATTAACTTAGCTGGATGATGAATGGGTAGAATAGTTGTAATTGATTGTTCTTCAATACATTCATAATTTGAATTCTTCTCTTTTTCCCTTCTTGTTTTTGCAGCATTGAAGAAGTGATCGCTAAGTTTGCTCAACAAACTCCCCAGGAAAGAGCCAAAAGGTAGGATCGAAGCCTTGTAGTTTGTACCATCATTTAAATTGCACATTTCTTCTACCATGGTTTATCTTTTTCATTATCTTTTATAAATATATAAACAAAGTATATAAAATACGTGGAGATTCAAATTCTAGTTAACAAAAATATAAATAATAACTAATTTCGAGCTGTTTTTATTGATTTGAAATCATAATATCAACATTAACATCAATATATTATTGACCAAAAAGTTGGAGGATTAAAAAAAAAAAAAAAGTTCTTAAAAAAATTAATGGATTTTGTTAATTTTATTTTATTTTCAATTGTGTGTTAATATGAAATGTCTCATTTATTGATATCTGAATGTTAAAAGAAATTTAGTGATTTTTTTTTTTTTTTTAATGTAAGGGTGTTATTTGAAAAAAAATAAAAAAAAAGTTGTATTTTGTGTTTTAGTATTTTCAACTATATAATTGGTCAAATGGTGTTAACCATAAAAGAATTTTTATTACGAACTAGTTAATTTATGAACAATTTTATCATATAATTTAGAAGGTATATATTTAAATCAATTTTATGCATTTAAATTTAACAAAAAATAAAATAATTTTGTTACAAAAACAATTTTTAAGAATAAATCCATCAAGGGGATATGGATTAAATGGATATAAAAATATAAAATATAGTCATAATTATTATCTAAAAAATTATATATGTGATTGAAGTTTATTTGAGCGTAGCTCTATCGTTTCCTTCCACTCGGCATTCAAACAAGGAAAATATATAATTTAACCTCGATCCCTTTTGAAGAACACTTTTTTATACGATTTGAAAATAGTTTTGAATCACTTAAATAGTGATAATAGTTGAGCAATTCATCTGAGCATCAAACATACAACTTTTGATAGGATTCATAATTGGCCACTGACATGTGTTCTCTCTGATTGGATCAGGAAATTGGAAAGCCTTGAAGTAAGTAATTTCACAATCAATTTCACTTGATTCTTTCCCCCTTTTACAGAAATCAAAATTCCAATACATACTTATCTCCATTATGCGTTTCGTCAATTTCTTTTGAATCTTCTAGGCACTGCGGAAGACTTTTAAGAAATTGGACCACGATGTCAACATACAAGATTTCCTTGGGACAAGGTACAATACACTCTGGTTAGCCTCATGGAGTTCATAATTGCGCAACAATCTTTTGATATATTTTCGTTTGTTTTTCTTTTTGTTTCAGTAGCCAAACGATTGAGGTACACACACCTTTGGACTAGCTTTATTGGTATGTACGATTTGTTTAGAACTCGTTGTTGATGATCAATAATGGCAGGATTTGGCTGGCCAAGCAAAGTTCTTACGGACTCAACTTTCTGAAGTACATCAGAGATTAAGGTCAATGGCCGCAAATCTTTTGAATCTAGTTTGTTAAGTTAACTTTTTGCTGTTCCCAAATTTTGTATTTTCTTGTTTATTCTCTGCAGCTTTTGGGGTAATCCTGAAAAGATCAACAACGTCGATCATTTGGCCCAAATGGAGGATTCGTTGAGAGAATCACTTAATCAAGTTCGAGTGCACAAGGTATCAATCATTTCATTTCTGTTGTGGTTGGTGCTGGAGAACAATCCTTTGAATTATAGCAATTTAATTAAATTCCTGTTTTCTCTACATACTACACTGTTCCTTCTTGTTTAGGGTTTTGTATACTGGAATCTTATAATAAAAATTTCACTTATTTTGGCAGGAAAATCTACAGAAGCATCCTCCAGTGCCACTAGAGTTCGCTAATCAGGTGAAGAATGCCTCGACTAGCTCGGATATTATCAAGAGTATATATAAAAGTCCTAACTAATCAGCTCAAGTTTGTGGGTTTTTAGTAATTATGGTATTAAATTAGAAAGGAAGTCGTGCTTAAGTTTCTTCCTGACCCCATTAGTATTGTGGTCGCTTATGGCTTTTCGTTCTAAGCTACACACTTACAAGCGAGTCGGGAGAGCATTAGGAATATAATAAAAATTCTGACCTATCAACTAATATATCCTTTTAGTTCGGTGGTAGTTTTCGCTACTTCAAAGATTTTGTAAAATTACTTTGATTGCAGATGCAGGATGGAATGCATCTTCCTTTCGATATGAGTGTTGAGCAACAGCTTCAACAACTCCAACACTACTCTTGGATTCCCAGTGATGCTCAAAATATAGTGTTACATGATGATCCCAACTTCGCTCCCCATAGGTAAGAATGAATCAACTATGTGTAACTTTGTGATTAGACTAAAAGCAGTGCAAGGAAGTGGAAGAAACTAGATAATTGTTTATATTACTGTATGAATGAGCTTGTAACGTGATAATATTACAGAAAACTACTATTGAATATATTGTCTTTTCTTTCTCTTAGGGATGTGGAGTGCTCTGCAAGTTCCTCTTTTGCTAGTTACCCTGGTTATTTCGGCACGGGTAGAAGTCCTGAGATTTCGAACTCTGGACACGAGAATGGCGTCCTCCCTGAACTAACCAGAACAGAACCTCTAAGGCCCCAGCTAGGAGGGCAAAATTCCTACATGTCTTATAATGTCAACTTTTTTAATGACCCGAGATTTCAACCAGCAGCAGAGATGAAACTACCAGTAAATCCTGTAGATTATCGTGTTAATGGGAACTACGACACCGCCCAACTCAATTGGGCTTCTTCTTCTGGCCCTTGTGCTGTTTCATTGCTAGACGATCACTTATTTCCATAAGTAAGCTTGCCCTTTTAAACTGCTTTTATTATCAGCACAATGTTTTTGAAGACTATTTGTTGTTTAGAGCATTTAAAGACTAACACTTCTTTTTCATTCAATCTCTTAATGCGTCAAATTTCTCATTCTTAGCCGAACATTATACTAAAGCACATATTTTGGAAAATCAAGGCTTTGTGTGTACTGTTATATAATCATCCTTGAAAACAACTTGTCTGATGTATGATAGAAATCAAAAGTTTGTTCTGCTTTCTTAGTGAATGAGTGAAGGATATGAACTTTGTGGAAAGCTAGTGAGTGTTTCATTTCTTGCAGCAACTGACTGAAACTTATGAATTACATACAGTTATAGCAATGGTGGAAAAGTTGATTGTGGAGGTGTCATAGAATACAGGAAGAAGAAGCCTAGCCTAATATACACACAATTTCAGAACTACAACCCTCTCGAGGCTGTCACCAGGCGGGCGAAGGAGGAGGCTCGGTGCTTACTCTCTCCATGAAATGATCTTTCAAGGAGTTGTTTTTTGCTTTATCCTTGTCTATCTTTTTGGCAGCTAAGGTACTGTCTTTCATTTGCTCCCGCTGACATGGAGCTGTAAATAAACATAGCAACATCATAGCATACAAGTTATAGTTAAATGTCTTCTTCAGCTCTCCAGTTAGCTGAAACAAATCCAAAATGTTTAGTAACTTATCCGTCCTATGTGATGAAGGCCATCAATAAGCAAAACATTTTTTGATTTCGTTTCTTTTATTGAATTACCACACTATCTTTGCAGACTAAGTTTTTTTTATGTTTTTTATGACTGTTGTATCGCTGACATCAAAATGTTTTAATACCCAATTGTTGTAGTGGAAGCAAAATGCACTCACAATCCACAAATAGAAATTAAACAGAGACAGATTTATATGATTTTGATAGAAGAAATTCTCTTGCATCCATGGTTCATAGACCAAAATATTTGAAGTATATCTCTCAATTGTCTCTTAGCAAATACAAAATGACAATGACTTCTACCCTATCTCTGAAAGAGGCATAACAATACTAATTTTCACACATGAACCATGCAAATACTAGCTTGGCTCATTATTGCTGAGATAATGGTCTACTTCACATTCACCGTGCACTGCATGCTATTATTGATAGACAAAAGAATCATGGTATGCACTTCCGTGTACTAGCTAAAGCGTTTACGTCTGTCTGGTGGAGACCATATTCACTTGGTACTGTAGTAGGTTAACTTGAAGGGGAAAGAGACATCACTTTAGGCTTTGTTGATTTACCACGCGATGATTTTGTTGAAAAAGGTCGAAGCTATTTATTTCACCCAAGATTGGATCTCTTTACTCGGTGTTCTGCCAGTGGTATTCACGTTTGGCATATGCCTGCTCTACCCGAGATTTTTGGAGATGATTCTGTACTACAATTCGGTGGAGGATCTTTGGGGCACCCTTGGGGTAATGCACCAGGTGCCGTAGCTAACCGAGTAACTCTAGAAGCATGTGTACAAGCTCGTAATGAGGGACGTGATCTTGCTCGTGAGGGTAATGACCAAATAAATGAGAGTTATGAACCAAACAATTCAGTGAGTGAATATGGATTAGAACTTTTCTAAGTTCTAATTTTGTACCGCACAAAAACCTTGAACCGACCCTCTGAACTCCATGAAGATGAAAGATAAGAACAGCAATACAAGTTCTATTACACCAAAAGGTCCAAGGCTATGATACCAAACAATTGGGATTAGATTTTAGAGACATTCACATAGCAATGGACAAGGTGACTTGAAATTTTATTTAGGGGCAGTTGTGAAGAAAGAATAACAGAGGAAGGCAGACTGAATTCATTAATACAAATAAACAGAGTAACAGAACTTTCATTACTTGAGGATACTGAACATTTACACTTTCAGCAACCAATAATACAAGAAAACACAAGTAGCCCAGCAGAAAGCTGGTTAATGATTACAATGAACTCCCAATGGTTACAACTAAGATGCAGGCGGGTGGTTAAAGCCCACCTCTGCCAACTTTTGCTTCATTACAGCAAAAGTCAGGGTAAAAAATCACAATAAGTTGCCAGTTGAGCACCCATTCAATGCTGCAATTTGAATCGACTCCTAGTCGGTTGAAGAGAAGAACAAAACATTCTTTATAAGGGTGTAGAAACCTCTTCTTAGTCGACGCGTTTTATAACTGTGAGGCAAACGGCGATACGTAACAGGTCAAAGCGGACAATATCTGCCAGCGATGGGCTGGATTATGACAAATCAAAATGATAAAAAAGAGCCCTTTCCTCATTTTTTGACTCAAGCACTCCTATATATCTACTACTCAGTATACTTTAAGGTAAACGAAAAGAAGAAAGAATAAGAAAAGTCATAAGCTTATTTTATCTAGAGAAGGTAATGAATTAGAATTGAGCACCACTGTAAGTCTGTCCAAAGGACCAGCGGGCTGGGACAACGTTGTTGGAAATGACTGTCCGGCCGTCGCTGGTGGTGACCTTGAAGGACAGGCTTTGGCCATTGAGGAAGCTGTTGCTCTGCCAGTTCTGTCCCCAATTCCTTGACATTGCTTGCCAACCGGTTCTTGAACCTTTGATGGAAACTGCATGAACATCACCAGCACCACCCACGTTTGTGATGAGCACCAAGTTGAAGTAGGAGTGGCCATTGATGGTGAACCTTATCCCTCCCCTTCTCCTGCAGGGTACCCTACAAAAACAAACAAACCCACCAACCCTGTTAAGTGAAATGTGTGAGGAGACCCAAACATAAAAGGTATGGAAACATCTTCCATGCAGACAAGTTTTAAAAAAATTTGAGGAAAAATCCAAAAGAACAAATATCTGTTAGTTTGTAGGCTTGAGTTGTTATAAATGATATCAGAGCCAGACACTGGAGAATGTGCCAGCAAGGAGGTTGAGCTCCGAGGAGGGTGAACATGAGGCAATGTGCCAACAAGGACGCTGGGCCCTAAAGAAGGTAGATTTGGTGGGGTCACGCATCGATTGGAGAAAGGAACGAGGTCTAACGAGAACGCTAGGCCTAAAGGGGGTGGATGATGAGGATTGTGAGATCCTACATCGGTTGGAGAGGAGAATGAAACATCATAAGGGGTGTGGAAACGTCTCCCTAGTCGACATGTTTTAAAAATCTTGAAGAAAGCTCGAAATGAAAATCTCAAAGAGACAATATATATTAGCAGTGTGTTTAGAAACCTTGAGGGAAAGTTAAAAAAAATACAATATTTATTAGCTGTGAGTTTAGAAACCTTGAGTCAAAGTCGGAAAGAAAAAGTCCAAATAGGACAATATCGGTTAGCTGGTGAGCTTGAGTCCTTACAAGATGCCACCTTAAAACACACCCCTGCACTTTTAAATTCAGTTTTCATGGTTTACCTTCTGTAGGCAACCTGCACAATTCCTGCTTTGTACTGAGCAATGTGTTGGTAGACAGGCTGAGAGAGATCAAAGTGCTGCAATGGAGGATTGCACCACCCTCCAGCGTTGTTGGGTAGGGCACTATTTGGAGGGCAGAAATTGGTGGCTGTGACCACAATGGAGCCTGGTAGGCACCATTTACGGCCACTGGTGCACCTAATCTCATAACAAGAACCACAGCTCAACCCATTGTTGAACAGAGCCGTACTCAAAGCAGCCGTGTTTGTTCCATATCCTTGACTGTACAAGTTGCCATACCCACAAGCCCCACCTGCACAAAATTTCAGCCATGTTTCACATTGCCCGCCAACTGTTTGTAAAAAGTCCTCAGAGAACTAACTATTAAGTAATGGCTGTTTTGGAGCATACCCATTGTCCCAGAAGCATCACTCCCACCATAGAAGGTAGCTTGAGCGCCCCTCCACCCTCCACCTGCATAGGCATCAACAGATGAAACTATGGCATAGAAGCCTGCCAAAAACAAAAGAACAGAACCCATTCCTGCAAAACAGAAAGTTCAAATTTCATTCAGCAAATCTTCTACTTCAATTTTTTCCCATTTTCAAACGAACATTATTGCCCATTTTCACTACAGAGAGAGAGAGAGAGAGAGAGAGAGAGAGAGAAGGCAAGATGATTACCAGAAGAAATAATGTGAGGCAGATGAGTGAGCAAAATGGGAGAGTTTTGAAGGCAATATATAGCAATTTTGAGGGACAATGGGGCCTACAACCGCTGGGGTTCAAAAAGGAAGAGACTTGAAAAATAAAAGAGGTTTTTGCAAGCATTAAAGGGTGGTTTGAGGGACCAAAACGTGTGGTTTAGGAGGCTTTGGAAGTGAGATATCCAAGTGGGGCAAGGCGGTTCCTGCTCTTTTGGCTAATGAATTTTCCATAGCCATGTGCAACCAAGCATCTCCTCCCCCCTCTTTTTGGCCTTTGCCCCTATCTCCCTTTCTTTTCGTTGTTTATTTCTTCAATATGTCTGCTTCACACATTTCAATATTATGATTCTATGTCTCTTCCATGTCAATCTTTTTGGGTATTAAAGGAGAATAATTTGCGTCCACCTCTCCTTTACAACTCGTTCCATCCTTTGCAGTTTGCAGTTCAATTGAACCCTACAACTCGTTCCATCGTTTATAGTTTGCATTTCGATTCAACCCTACAATTCATTGCATTGTTTGTAGTTTACAGCTCGATTAAACCCTACAACTCGTTCCACTGTTCGTAGTTTGCAGTTCGATTGTACCCTACAACTCATTTCACTGTTTGTAGTTTGCAGTTCGATTGTACCCTACAACTCGTTTCACTGTTTGTAGTTTGCAATTCGATTGTACCCTACAACTCGTTGCACTGTTCATATTTTATAATTCGATTCAACCCTACAACTTGTTACATCATTCGTAGTTTGCAGTTTGATTAAACCCATTGTTGCATCTTTCTTACTTTACCGTTTGATTCAACCCTCCAACTCGTTGCATCGTTCGTAGTTTGCAGTTTGATTCAACCCTACAACTCATTGCGTTGTTTGTAGTTAAACCCATTGTTGCATCTTTATTAGATATGGTTTAAAATTCAAAAACCTATAAGACATAACCACATAACCATCCATTCTTAAGAATTTATCGAACATACTTTGATGGAAAAAAATCAAATAATGCATTAAATATTTATAAAATAAAAAATAAATAAACTTTGTAAAGAAAGGAGCCCACATACAGTTGAAGTATATTCTATGGTTAGAGGGTCCATATTTATATCAAAGTTAAAAGAATAATAATAATAAATAATTAAATAAAAAGATATATTTGGATAGCACATGGCTGACGACATATTTTAGCTGTCTTCTACCAACATTTTGTGGGGTTTTTTCTTTCTCTCCATTAATATAATCACGATTTATAATCCCGATTCGACACCTAATGACCTCTGCACCTCTTGATTCATTTATGTACCTTTCCTTTATTCGGGTGTCACAAAGGTTTATTACACTTTGAAATGACTATAAATAAACGATAAAAGAAGATTGAAACAACTTGTTCGTTAAACTTCTACGTCGTTTGACTTGTCGACCAGTTCTCAAGAATTTATGGGCTGACGAGCCTCCAAGATAAAGGGTCGACACTACTAACCAAACCAAGCTCGTTCAATTTGTTCACGTTATTCAAGGTCTAATGTAGTTAGGAGGATTTTAGAAGTAATCATGATTGATTAATGTTAAATGAAGGATTCTTCACTAATCTCAGACTTAATCCAACATATATTATTTTTTGGGACATAATTTGACCTTTAATTCTTAATTTCCTCAAATACGTACAAAATTGAAGCCAGTCAACTCCACGTGGCTGGTCAAACTTTTAATTGTTTATCCTTAAAAACTTCAATATTTTGGTTCTTGACTGTTCCACACCTGTCTATCTTAAATAATTGTTTTCCCCAAATATTCAAATATTCAATTTCAAAAATTAAAAATATAATTTTGCAATGTTATTGTTATAATTTATTTATTTATTTCTCTCTATACAAATATTATAATTTATTAATTGAAACTTTATAATATAGTTATAATTTATTGAACGCTATACACGTGACATAAATACATTAAATTTTATAAAAATATCTCGATTGATTAATATATAGTCTACGTAACTTAATTGTTAGGTTATAGACTATATAGTAGGCTTGATTTCGTGTTCGTGAAATTTAAATTTTATGCATTATACCCAATTTATTAATTTTCTTAAAATTTAAATTTTGACGGTGTCATTATAGAGCTACAATTATTTCAAAATTTAAACCCAACATAAATTCTTACTGAAATGATGCAAATTTTGGTAATAAAAACATGGGCAATAATTCAATTTTATAAAATAAATTTCTTTGGTCCACGCTATTTTTGCCTAGAATTTATAGAGCGGAGAAATTTAAATTGTCTATAACTAGCTATAACGAGCCATCGTGAACGTTTGAAAAGTTTCATCTTTTATAACTTGCTCGATGTATTTAGAAATATGATCGTGATTGTTTAAAAATGTGTGATAGAAGAGAGCTCTAGCTTTGGACGATGACACGACCTATATGTGTAATTTAAGATCTATGATGTTCAAGTCAATAATTGAGCCCGATGGTAGATATCGAGAACAAGAAATAAGTGTTTTGGACGTACTTTTGTATCTACTTGTCGTACTATAAGATAGTTTATAAAACATCGTCACAGATTCTATGGCATTAAGTATAATAAACATTATAAGATTAAACTATTACTTAATCGAATGATTATGAGCAAAGATCAAATTTTAGCATTCTCAACCATCGACCGGCCTGTATGGAACAATAATTATGTCGGTAATTGATCCTCATGGGGTTATGGTCGTGGCTTACCCTATGGGAGTTTACCATGTGGGCTCCAAGCTTAGTCGATACTCGTGGCAGTTGGCTTCTCAAAGTCGATCGACGTTTTCTAAATTTGTTTCTCGATCTTTAAGCTTTTATTCTCGATGGCTTTCGACGGGGTCGATAATTTCACACCTACGGTTACAAATAGTTAGCATGAAATGTGTAAATTTTTATTAAATTAGTTATAGCGTTGTAGTGTAAGGTTTTCTTTATAATAATATAAATATATTTATATATAAAATAATAATAACTTTATGTACCGACAAATGTGGTCCCCGGGTGGCTATTCATTTAAATAATTCATTATATATTATAGTTCTTAACAAATTTATTTCTTTAGAAATAAGAAAAAAAAAATTATAATGTAATTATTCATACCTTCATATATGAAAATAGTCAATTCATAACTTTAATATTTTCTAAAATGTTAAATTAATGAAATATTAGCAAGAAAATCTAAATAAAAAAAATTATATTCTCTTCTTCTCTTACTTTTCTCGAAAAAAAAATTATAAAAAACAAGTGAAAATATATATATTTTTATTGATAAAGTTTCATTATCTTTATAATTATTTTTCCTTTATGAGTTTTTTTTTTATTTTATTTTTGAATTATGATTTTATAAAATAAATAATAGTATGGTTGTTACATCGATTTTCTTATATTTAATTTTAACAAATTTTTTTAAAATAATTTTAAAATTCAAGAATATAATGAAATTTTTTAAAGTTTAAGGATATAATTAAAATCTAAAAAAATGAAAAATCGAGAAGTATTTTATTTATTATTTTCTCCCTCTCTTGTTCTTTTTTAATTAAAATAAAAAAAAAAGTAATAAACGAAAAATAATTACCAAAAAGAAAAGAATTAATTCCTTCTTTGAAGAGAAAAAAAATGATTAAACATGAGAATCATTAGTCTTTATATATATTAAAAAATGAATAAGCCTATGACCCAAAATATATAAAATAAAATTTTGTAAAATAAAAAATAAAAGAAAATAAAAGGGATGCTTTACACCACATCAAGCTTACACAGTCAAATTCTTTGGTATTTATATAGCAAAAGGCAAAATAAAAGTAAATAAATAAAGAAAATAATAATAAAAATAAAAAATAAAAGTCCATCATGAATGTGATGCTGTAAGGCACTCACCCAAAAATGCTTATCCATTCCTTTTCAAATAGACTACGACATTCTCCTGAGATATTGTGAGATCTCACCTCGATTGGAGAGAGGAATGAAACATTTATGGAGAAACCTCTCCCCAGTAAATACGACAATAATACAGACAATTTCTACTAACAATAATCTTAAACTGTTACAAATGATATCGGAGTCAAAAAGATAAGAAGCGTGCCTGCGAAGACACGTTCTAAACCAGTGAAATCGAGAACCAAAGTAGATAAACTTTTGAGTGATTAATCGATAATATTTGGGATAAGGGATTGGATTGAGAGAGGTTGAATGGAGAGGAGAGGGGCAACCCACATGCTCGTCTACCTTCTTTTCATGCTTTTGCTGGATCTCAATATATAATCTTTTCACTTTCTCATAATTACCGACAAATTCCCTTTTAAACTCATTTTTCTTCCTTCTATTCAAAGTGATCGTTCGAAAGAGTAAGAACGAGGATGATCAAAATTTCAATTTAGAAAGAAAAAGACTGATTAGTCAACTAAAACAACGGAGGAACTCCTTGATATGAAGATCCCGTTTGGCCAATTATAAGAGTACTAAATGCATGCTAGTGCACTAAGAAAGAAGTAGGAGCAAAATCAATATTGTCTCATTTCAAAATCACTCTCAAACGGTTTATCACATTAATGGATGTCATTTTCTTAATTTATGTAATCATCATCACCTTCCTCCATAGTCGATACGGGACCCTTCATCACATTCCTAGATGCTTGAAAACAATCTAGGCAATCGTTGAGTGGGTTATGTGCGACAGCCTAAGTCCACCATTAGCAAATATTAATCGCATTGATTCGTTACGTATCATTGTTAGCTTCACGATTTTAAACCACATCTACTAGGGAGAGATTCCCACACCCTCATAAGAAATGTTTAATTTTTCTCCAATCGATGTGGGATCTCGCAATCTATCTTCCTCTAATCCCACTGAGCTGAAAGACATAAAAAAATGTGTCGTATCTGAAAAAATATGAGCTAGAAAAGCATGATAATAATAATCTCCGCAAGTCCTTAAGCCTCAAATAGTCAAATCATTCAAGACTTTAGTTTATAGGTCTTAGGGTTTGAAACTTTTATGGCTATGTTCTTCAGTATCTGCTGGTATCTCAATCACAAAACAAAAAAAAAAAAAA